AATTGATCTGCCAACCACTAGACATGTGAATTAAGCTATGAAGACCCAGCAGAGCTGACAAAGGTAAAAAGAATTTGAAGAAATAATTTTAAACCATTAAGCTTTGAGGGCTTTTGTTTTCTGCAGCAAAAGAAGTGATATAGATAGGTTACAAACTTTCAGCAAAAATCTGTATGTACATTTCTATTCTAAAGTAGATTTTTATTATAGTTGATTGATAATACACCACTCACCTCAGAGCCCCATTAGAAAAATGACATGAATTATTGACACAATAGTAATTCCACCTGTTCTTCAGACTTTTCAAGCAACTTGCAAGGATAATAGATGAAGATGGAAAACCAAAGTACAGGATGTTTTGATCCTTGGTCAGTGTTTTGAGAGAGAGAGAGAGAGAGAAAAAGAGAGAGAGAGAGAGAGTGTGTGTACACATATGTACATATACACAAAAAACTCTAATTTTTAATGTCTCAAGGATAAAGACTGAACAGATACAAAATGAATGTTTCTAAAAACTACATAGAGTAATAGTACAAAGATAAATACCATCGCTATAAAGATCATAGAAATTACTCATAACCTGTCATCTTTGTTTCCACAGAATTTATGGCAAATTATTTTGATTGCTCTGATTTTACTATTTAAAATAAAGAGTGAGAAGGGGACTAATCTCCTTAGGATACAAACCCAACATGAATATTTTTGGTTTAAGTTCCACAAGCTACTGGTAGTCAGGGCCATCAGGTTAAACAATCTGGGGAATGATATTCACATTATTGTGAATGGCTGCAGAGACAATTTATGCCGTCATACGGCACAGTGGCCATGCTGGTAGTATTTATTCTTTTGGTCTGATCTAAACCTGGAACTGAAATTATGGAAACCTATCTGAAAATTCAAACTAATGAGTTTTTATTTTTTGAAAATATATTTTTATTGATTTCAGAGAGGAAGGCAGAGGGAGGGAAAGATAGAAATATCAATGATGAGAGAGAATCATAGATTGGCTGCCTGAATGCCCCCTACTGGTGATTGAGCTGCAACCCATACATGTGCCCTGACCAGGAATCAAACCATGACCTCCTAGTTTATAGGTCAATGCTTAACCAGAGAGACACCCCAACCAGGCATTAATAGGTTTTTATTTACAGTCCAAGCTCCACCATTTGCAAAGGTTACAATATTATAATACAAAATACAAATTTTAACATTATATACAATTTATTTTGTCTATTAAAAATGTTAATTACATATACTCATTACCATTATAATGAACTTCTTTGACACTGCTAAATATATTTTCCAAGGAAGATTAAATAAAAAGAATAAAGGTCAGATTCCCACTCTTCTCTATCAGCTCACTCTCTTCTTATACATTAACTATAACAGGTTTTACTGAAACCTAAGCTATTGAACTTAGTTAATGAAAAGTCATCAATGACCAAACCCTCCAGCTTTATTTCTGAGCAATCACTGGAACATGAATTGGCTTTATTACCCACAACTTATCTTTGTTATCACTGATATTAAGTGAAACTTAATAGCCAATACCGATAACTTCTTTCCCCTAAAATACTAATACACATAACTCAATGTTATCTCAACCAATTTTTTTTCAATCTCATCAATTTATTTATTTGTTTATTTATTTTTAAAATATATTTTATTGATTTTTTACAGAGAGGAAGGGAGAGAGATAGCCAGAAACTTCAATGAGAGAGAAACATCGACCAGCTGCCTCCTGCACACCCCCCACCGGGGATGTGCCCGCAACCAACATACATGCCCTTGACCGGAATCGAACCTGGGACCTTTTAGTCTGCAGACCGACGCTCTACCACTGAGCCAAACCAGTTTCGGCTCAACCAATTCTCTTTAAAAATATATTTTTAATTGTTTTTTTTACAGAGAGGGAGAGAGAGAGTTAGAAACATCGGTGAGAGAGAAACATCGATCAGCTGCCTCCTACAGACCCCTCACTGGGGATGCGCCCACAACCAAGGCACATGCCCTTGACCAGAATCAAACGTGGGACCTTTCAGTCCGCAGGCTGACACTCTATCCACTGAGCCAAACCGGCTTCAGCTCAATCAATTCTTTTGAAGACAAATTATCATGTTAGTATGTAAGCTAATTCATAAGACATCATCAAAATATATAGATTCGCTATGTGATTCTACTAAAAAGCAGGCATGATAATGCCATAGATAAGAAGAAGGGAAATACTAGAAGAGAAATGAAGTATAAGATACATTTTTAATTTCTGAAGATGAATGTTATCACACTCTAAAAGGTGTTCTGAGCTTCCAGAAAGAGTGATTAACAAAATGAAGCCCTTAAATTCCTAGAAATAGACCTAACAAAAGACGTGCAAGGTTTGTAGGCTGAAAACCAAAATATATTGAGAAAATAAATGAAGGGAAATACCATCATAAAAGACTGGAAGATTCAATATTGTGAAGACATCAATTCTACCCAAACTTATCTATAGTTTCACTATAATCACAATCAATATCCAGCAGATTTCTCTGTGGAATATGACATGCTGTCAAGTTTATGGAAATATAAAGAATCAAAAAAATCTTGAAGACCAGCAAAATTGATAAACTTAATCTACTAGATATCAAGAAAGTTATATAAAGTCACACCAATTCAGACAAACCAACTAATGAAATTAAAGTGAGCCCAGAAACCCACACCTATGTGATTAAGTTATAACTATGGTAACAATACACTTTAATGGAGAGTAATTCTTTTTTTAAAATAGTTGAGGCCACTGAATACCTTATGAAAAAATATGAACCTTGATCTTCATCTCATATCATATACAAAAATTAATTCCAAAAGAATTATATAGATTTAAACATGAAAGGTAAAACAATAACAGTTTGCAGAAAAATCTCAGGAGAATATATTAAAAACTTTAGGGTAGTTAAAGATGTCTTAAATAGGATACAAAAACCACTAATCATAAGTGGGGGTGAAAAACCTTATAAATTAGTTTACATTTAAAAACTTCTAATAATTGACATTCTTAAGAGTGAAAAAATAAGCTACCAAGCAAAAGGAAGTATTTGCAATACACGTAGCTGACACAATTCTTATCCACAATAATATATAAAAACTCCAACAAATCAATTAGAAAGAAAAAAAAAAAAAAAAAAGCCAATTGGAAAATGGGCCAAAGAGTACACTAGGTACTTTTACAAAAAGAAGATATCCAACTGAACTATCTATAATATATATATATATATATATATATATATATATATATATATATATTATAGATAGTTCAGTTGGATATCATATATATATGTGTATATATATATATATATATAACCTTTTTTAAAAAAAATATATTTTATTGATTTTTTACAGAGAGGAAGGGAGAGAGATAGAGAGTTAGAAACATCAATGAGAGAGAGTCATCGATCAGCTGCCTCTTGCACACCCCCTACTGGGGATATGCCCGCAACCAAGGTACATGCCCTTGACAGGAACCGAACCCAGGCCCTTCAGTCCCCAAGCCGATGCTCTATCCATTGAGCCAAACCGGTCCCGGCTATCTATATATATAAAACCTTTTGAAGGTATATGCCCTTGACCAGAATCGAACCTGGGACCCTTCAGTCTGCAGGCTGATGCTCTATCCACTGAGCCAGACTGGCTAGCTAGAGCAGCAGTGGCCTTTTAAATGGGTCCACCTTCTCTTTCAAAAGCCAGCAGACTTCATTCTGCCTCTGCTTTCTAAAATAACATATGGGGTGTCCCCCAAAAAAGTATACACAGACTGATTATGAAGGTAGTGTTTATTAAAATAAATTTCATTTTCAGTGTATATGAAAATTTCATTTCAACAGCTATCAGCTAAAGTCTGTATACATTTTGGGGGAAAAACTTTTATCATCACCTTAGAGAAAGAAAGGATATAGAAATTAGCTTAATATATGCAAATTTTCTCACATAATCACACAATTAACTAATGATCCTTTTATTCCACAATATATTTAACTAGAGGCCTGGTGCATGAAAATTCATGCCCTGCAGGGAAGGTCCCTCAGCCTGGCCTGCCCCTCTCACAGTCTGGGAGCCCTAAGAGGTGGGAGGCGACCCAGCGATCAGGGAAAGGGGATACCCATCACACTTCTTCTGCTGCCACTGCTGGCAGCGCAAGCCTTTGCCAGCCCTGGTTACCTGAGCCTCTGGTGGCCCTGGATGGCTGGGCAGCTGCCATCCAAGGTGTGCCTGTGCTGCAGTCTGACCCTGGGAAGCTGGGGGGCTGTGGGAACTGGGGAACTCAGGAGGCAGGTATGCAGAGTGGCCAGGCCCACTGCCAGGACTGCTGCCAAGGCAGGGCTGAGAGGACTGAGAACCACCATCCTGTGGCTGTGGGTACTACCATCTTTGAGGGCATGGCAGTCAATTAGTATACTCCCTCCTTATTGCCTTTGGGTGCTGCCATCTTTGAGGGTGGGGCAGTCAATTAGCATATTCCCTTCTTATTGCCTGTGGGCACTACCATTTTGTGATGGTGTGAAGGTCAATTAGCATATCCCCTCTTAATTATTTAGGATAGTCAAAATTTATTCAGCATCTACTATGTGATGGATCCAATACAAAGTACTTTTAAAGCATTGTCACACAAACCAAGAAGATAATTTTAGGTGATTTTCAGATAAAAAAACTGTTTTAGGACTAGAAAATACATGGCTGAATTCATTTAATTTCCAAGGTAAATCCTTGCAAAAGAAAACAACAGTATCTTAATTATTTCATAAATTACCTTAAGAAAAAAAACGTAAGTAGAAACTAATTTAAATTGTGATGTTCACATTGAGAATGTATTTTATTAACATTCCCAAGAGGTTTCATTTCATATATAGTCTTACCTTTTTATTTCAAACCTATAGTGAAATGAGAAACAAAGAACAGAAACTTGTCTAAAACATAATTAAAAGTTTCTTTAAAAACAAACAAAAAAAACACTAAAAACCTCTTACCTGAGCGTGAAAATTGGACATAGTTGTTGTCTCTATATCCTTCTTTCCCAAAATCTCCATTTTCACTGGTGAATTGGGAAAATTAAATGAAAAGTAGTCTAAAAAGTCAGGTAAATAAGCAGCTGCCCCATGAACAATACCCATTACATAGAAAGCTGCAGAGTTTTCATTTTCACTGAATACTAGACCCACAAACTCTTCTGCAAACCTCGCCATCTCCACAGGAGACAGGTGAGTGAGTTCATTACTATAGGCATGGATAACTGATGCACCTCCATTAGGCTGGTGCTCAATATGAATCAGTTGTCTGAACTCCAAAGTGTCCAACCTTCTGAGATTATTCTGAACCCGTGGCTCCTTTAAAGAGACAAATGGAAGCTCACTGTTCTCTGTAAGTTTGGAGCTATAGTTCTTGGTATCCAAATTCTTTCCACCATAATCCTTTATGTTATCATTTAGGATGCCTTTGGCTTCTTGATCTTCAACATCAGCTAGCAATCCTGAGCAGATGGTTTGAATAGATTTGCTATACATTTTTGGATGCTTCCGTTTTTCATTCTCTTTGTGTTTCTTTTTCTTTTTCTTCTTTACCTTTTTAATTTGTAAGTCTTCTACATTTGTTTTTGGTTTCTCCTTCCCACCTATTGGGAAAAAATTTTTTATGAAACTCCATATTTTAGTTTCTTAAAAAACCATGCGTTAGGAACTGTTTTATAAATAATAAGCAAAGTTAACTCAAAATTAAGTTTATCTTTGGGACTCATTTATACTAAGTTATTCTATATCCCACATTTATGAATATATGTGGTATAGTCATATAAAGTTGTTATTTTTTCCATTTATAGGACACTGTATTTAATACGTCCTTAAGGACATTCTATGAGTGAAACAAATAACTTCTATACAAATTCAAAGTGAACCGATACTTTTGTCCCCATCATGTGTCCCTCATGGCATCTAGAAGACTGCTACCAATGAACATTTAATGAATCTCTGAATGAAAAGATTTCTCTTACCAACAGACTATAGGTTTTTCCCTTGCCTCCTTTTCAAAGTTTTCTACCATATGAATACCACTTACTCCTAACCCTGAAAACAAAAAATCTCTCAAGTTAATAGCAATTCTAAAAAGGGAAAGTTTAATGTTAATAATAAACTATCACTTCTAAAAATTCGTAAGTATGCAATGAAGACCAAATTGGTATCATGCAAAGCAAAAATAACAAGGTGTCAACATTATTTTTTACATAGGTTTATAGTCATAAAATGCACTAAAGTCATTAATTACCTAATAAGTCTATGTGCAATTACTTAAGAAATATATTAACAAATTCATACTTGCTTTCTTGGTATAAGCTAAACATCAGATTCAGACTAATATCTTCAGAAAAAAATTAAATGAAATAATAAAAAAGGAAAACAGGGAGTTAATAAAAATGAAAATAAAAGAGGTTCATATATGTAAGCCAAATCTAAATGAGTCAAGGGAAAAAAGAGTAGCCAATTAAAAAACAACTTAAGTGTATAATTAATAACTAAACTGGAAAAACATGTAAAATTGGACAAATTAAATGGCTTGTCAAAATAAACAGAATTTCATTTAAATAAGTTTCATATAATTACGTATATGCCTAACATGTTACTCATATACATGTTACTCTGAAATAAAATAGGCACAATAGTCTATTTCCTAGCCATGAGAATGGATGAAAAAATAGTATAAAAGTCAGAAACTAAAAAATGCAAACTAGTAAATCAGTCAAGAGATTCTTATATTGAACAGCAAGGAATTAAATTCCCATGACAAACTACTCTATAATTAGATAATAAAGTGAGCACAGCGTGCAGAAAAGAGTTAATATGGCATGCTTGCAAGGTTGGTCATTAGCTGGCATCTGAGAACTTGTACTTTGGGAAGGTTCCCATCATTCCCTGATATAAGTGACTCAATGTGCCTAAACTGATTGTGCAACAATGCAATTTATTTCAAATACCTCTTTCCCTCTGGGAGTCTGGAATTCTGATACAAGCTATAGAGAGGGTGACTATGTGACCAGCTCCCAATTAAAACCCTGGGCATCTAGTCTCTAAGGAACTTCACATGTGTTGTCACAATTCACTGCTAGAATAATAAAGTGCATCCTGGGTGACTCCCCACTAGGAGAGGACTCTTGGAAACTTGCACCTTGTTTCCTCCAGACATCGCCTCATGTCCCTTTTCTCTTTACCGATTTTACTCTGCACCCTCTACTAAACTAAATCATAGCCATGAAGCAACTATATGCTAGTCTTGTGTGTCCTAAATTTTTAAAATTTTATATAGTCTCTTATTCATTTCCTGTTTTGGAATGACATACAAAATGCAATAGATGTATATGAAGGAAATTTTTAAACACTTTAAAACAAGGCCATTTTGAGTATCAATTTTCTTCTCTTATAATAAAATTGCTGTTTACGTAACTGGGACCCTCAAGAAGTGTAACAGTAGCCCTAGCCGGTTTTGCTCAGTGGGTAGAGCATCGGCCCTATCGACTAAAGGGTTCCGTGTTCAATTCCAGTCAAGGACACAAACCTCAGTTGCAGGCTAATCCCTGGCCTTGGTTGGGGCATGTGTGGAAGGCAACCAATCGATGTGTCTCTCTCACATTGATGTTTTTCTCCCTCTGTTTTCCCCCCTTCCTCCCACTCTTTAAAAATCGATGAAAAAATATCCTCAGGTTGAGGATTAACAACAACAAAAATGTGTAACAGTAAAAGGTTGATGGGGGACCCTCCTCCCACAGGTCCACAAACACATGCACACAGTGGATCCCAGAGATACATACACAGAGCACCACAAACACAGAGAGCTAGAGAGAGAATCAGACACAGAGAAAATGCAGACACATATAAAGCCAGAAAGAAAAAGACACACTGAGACAGAAAAAAACCCATACACAGAGATACAAACTGTATGTGTTATTATATATATATATATATATACACACACACACACACACACATATGTGTGTGTGTATATATATATATATATATATATTTCAAAACAACCTTTAAGAACACAAATTAACTGGCATTAATTGCTGCCATTTAGTATACTTTAGTGTTAATTAAAAAGAAGATTGAATCTGATTTCATATCTAATATAGGAATCAATAAATATATGTATATATATATATGTTATCATACATAAGAAAGTAATAATTAGCTTAGCTATTTTCAACCTTTGATCTTTGTAGAATGACTGCTTTTCCACCTGTTAATATTTTCACTCTTCCTGAGATGATTTAGCTACCTGTGACCTTTAGTACACTACCATTAACCTTGGACATTGGCTTCTTTAACCCCTATTCCAACTACTCTTTTTTTTTTTTTTAAGATATATTTTATTGTTTTTTTTACAGAGAGGAAGAGAGAGGGATAGAGTTAGAAACATCGATGAGAGAGAATCATCGATCAGCTGCCTCTTGCACACCCCCTACCAGGGATGTGCCTGCAACCAATGTACATGCCCTCAACCATAATCGAACCTGGGACCCTTCAATCCGCAGGTCGATGCTCTATCCTTCTGACTCTCTATCCTTCTCCCCTCCTCTCTGTGGAAAATCAATAAAATATATTTTAAAAAAACAAGAGAGAAAAAAAAAAAGTTGAAGTCCATAAAAAAAAAGGGGGTGGGGGGGCACAGTTGTACATACTGTCCCTACCAAATCGATTCTGCTGCTGCTCAGGACACCAATGACAAAGGATACCTTTCCCTGATGAAGGCTCTCTTGGGAAATGGCCACACACACACACACACACACACACACACACACACACGGCAAATTGTTTTTGCTATATAATAACAATAGCTAATACTTGGTGCTTACCAAGGGACAGGTACTGTTTCCCAAAATGAATCAAGTTTTTATTCATTTAATTGTCTACATACTAGCAAATGCAGAGAGGAGAGTTTGTTGTTGTTTTTTAATCACAAGAGTTAATCTTTCATACATTTACAAGATTCTCATCCATTTATTAATATTAAACTAGAGGCCCGTTGCAGGAAGATTCCTGCAAGAACAGGGCTTCCAACAGGCTTCCCTCCCGCCACCTCTCCCGCCCCCCCCCCCACGCTTTCCCTGCCGCCCCTGCCCCCATCCCCTACCGCACGCCTTTCCTCCGGCCTCCGAGGCCCCCCACCCTCCTCGCTTTCCCTCCCGCAGCGACCCCCTGCACGTTCCCTCCCACCACCACCAGTGCTCTCCCTTCCCTCCCGCCATCTTTGCATCCCACGCCCTGCTTTCCCTCCTGCCACCACTGCCGGCACTTTTCCGCCGCCTGCCCCCGCCCGCCTGCGCTTTCCCCCCCCAGCTGCCGTGCTTTCCCTTTCTTCCTTCTATGCCGTCTTCAGTATTCACTCCTCCCTCCGCTTATGCAAACTAACCGCATCTTCGTTGGGTTAATTTGCATACTCGCTCTGATTGGCTGTGGGCTCAGTGAAGGTATGGTCAATTAGCCCTTTTCTCTCTTATTAGTGTAAATGTCTGAGGCTCAGAGACTGTTGTTGGCACTTAAAACCATGTAAGGCAGTAATTACAGTATTACTTAACTTTCCCATTTTACAGTAAATACATTTTCCCCTTGTCACTCCAAAGGTCACCAATTCCTTTCCAAATACACCTCAATTTTTTTCCCCCATATCTTCACTAGATTTCAGTTTAACTTAGTTCAAAATATCTCCTAAATTAAATTGTTTATCTACTTTAAACTCAAGGTTACTATTTCATATTACTGGGGGAGAGGGGCGGAGAAACACTTATTTTTAAGGTTATTTTAAATTTTGTTTGCATATGTAATCTCTAGATTCACATATTTAATATTAACTGTATGCTAGGAATCTAACATTTAACTGAATGGCAGGAATTTACATGACTGTACATTTAAATGGGTAAGAAAAAGTGACTACTACTTAAATAAACCATTAGGGTAAAATTAAGTAAACATTTCCAGCATTAATCACTAGCCGCTGTTCAGATAGCTTTGGTGTGGTAGATTTGACTCCTGCCTCAAAGGCTTACAATCTAATTAGACAACATTGATAAAATACATTGCAAAAGGGCAATGAGCATTAACTAAGTAACCATCAAGTTAACCTCTGACATGTTTCTTCAAGGTCAACATAATTTTACAGAAAATAAAGTTCTTACAAGTAGAAAACAGAGATCAAATAAAGTGCCATCAAAGAACATCTGGAAACATGACAAAGAAGGAAATGAAAATACAGAATCTAATCCTGCTTATCCGAAATAATATAAACTAACCAGTTACTTCATTGCACATGTAGTGCTATGGCCTTTTCTCCTTTATGTAGATATAAACGTTTATCAACATATAAATTCAATATAAAACTAAAGTGAAAATGTTTTGCTCTGCAAATTGTCAACTTGATAGAGCACCTAAAGAATTTGTTAGCTGTCTAGCAACAAAATGCCAATGATTCTTCTTCTTACCCTGCTGAGTGGATTTAACACTATCCTTACTCCTATGCTACCACAAATTCTCCTGAAATAATTCAGATTTATTCTAAATTAGCTCAGAATAAATGGTTCCCTCCAAATCCCTGACTATGACCTGATTACATCAAATATTTGTAAGATCACTTCCTTTACCATCCCTATCAAGCTAAAAATAGCTTTAGCCTTTTATTTTAGATAATTTAAATATGAGACTAGTAATGCAAACACAAAATGTGATAACCTATTTTTAAATAATTTAAGGAACCTAACAGTTTAATGAACCTTAACCCTTTATACTTTTCAATGATCCACTAATATACTAAATACATATTTATTATACAGATTCAATCTGCCTACCATTACATTAAATTTTCATTTTCTGACCAATTTATTCTCAGAAAAATTCAGCAACAAATAACATGTCTTATTTTAATCACTAAGCCAGTAAGTATACTGAAAAATACAATACAATCATTGACTCACTGAATATAAACTTACTTTTCAGCAACATCTTTACTTCTCCATTTTCTTTCTTGATCTCATTCATTATTTTATGCTTCTTTTTTTCCCTCTCTTTTTCCTTATCTCTCTCTTTAATTTTGTCTTTGATTTTATCTGAAACACAAAAAAGGAAATGTTTTCAACTATTTTAGAATTTTTCCAATGAACTATAGTGCAATTTCTAAAATTTCCTTTCCTATACTGAATATGGACTACATAATACATATCAACCTCGTGGCCCACAGTTATAAAAACTCTAAAAATTATCGTTTATAATCTAGTAATTCAAACTTTGAGTTTATAAAATTACTAGAGGCCCAGTGCATGAATTTGTGCACCGGTGGAGTCCCTCAACCTCGTTGGAGATTGGGGCCAATCAGGGCAATCTCACCCTCTCCTAATCAGGGCCCATTGAGGCCAATCAGGGTCAGCTGGCCAGGGGAAGGGACAGCGGGAGGTTGGCTGGCCATGCAAGGTTGGCTATGGGAGCACAATGACCACCAGGGGGCAGCTTCTGCATTGAGCGCCTGCCCCCTGGTAGTCAGTGCGTGTCATAGTTACAAGCGCGTCATAGCTCGGGACATCACAAGACACTTAGACTTTTATTTTATATAAAGAGTTTTGATGTCCTATTAATTCATATTTTTTCAAACACCTGCGTACACAGCGAAAGAGAAGTAGGATAGAATGTAAAAATAGTGACATATTCTTTGCCCTCAAAAAACATACAATTGATTACAAAGCCACAATGTAAGCACGCAAAAAACCACAAGATACCTTCAATGTAGCAGAAATTACAGTTACTAGAGGCTCAGTGCACAAATTCATGCACATTGAAAGGAAATTAATTAGAAATATTATAATATCACTATTTGTACTTTATAATAAGAAGTATCAACCAAATTTACAATTGACAAAGACAGATTGAAACACACGTGTGCAATTGGCACCAGCAAGAGCTTTATATGTATCACGCATGTGCTAGTCAACTTAGCCTTTTATACTGTGTTTCCCCGAAAATAAGACCTACTTACAGGTTTCCTTCTGAGTGAATAAGGCATCCCCCAAAAATAAAGCCTCCTAGGCTAAACATGAGAGATTTGGTCCACTGATTCTAAAAGAAATGGAGTCACAAGAAATTCACCAGGAAATTCAGGAATTGGATTGTTATGATGATGTTCCAGAAGATGATGACATGATTGTCGTTGAATAAATTAGTAAATTCTTGATACTGTAGGATTCACAGTTTGTCTAGTTTGTGTTGACAACTACCATACTACGAAACTGTATACAGGTAATAAATTTCTTTTATTTTCATTTAATAATAAATGTGTACCGTATTCTTCTTCATGGAAAAATAAGACATCCTCTGAAAATAAGACCTAGCGCATCTTTGGGAGTAAAAATTAATATTAGACACTGTCTTATTTTTGGGGAAACGGTAGATATAGAATAAACTTGTTTAATTAGACCTGCTTTCTGATGTAGCTAAACTTTTTCCAGCCCAGGGAAGTACCTCAACTTCTCTTTCAGGTAACTGTCAGCAACAGAGCAATAATTATATCAGCATGAAGCACATTATTATTGTAGATCACACAGGGAAAATATAGGGTAAAATATTTAACTGCAGCAGTGTTTGACTATATTCTACGCAGTGAGAAAATCTGAAGTCATTTTCAAGGTCCACTACTTCTTTTCAATCAGGTCAAGTTTATAAGCTTTCTAAATCTGTTTTCTGGCTAATGAAAATAGGATTTCACCGAGATGAGGGAAAACACTTCAAACACATTTGGTTAAAGTGTGAAATGTTTGCACCTGGCTATAAAGCAAACTGCAAGGAAGTTAATCGTCCTTAGGGAGAGGAAGCTGGGCATAGCTACATGACATCATTACCCAGCACCCACAGTTTCTGGGCTGTGGGCCACATTTTGCACAAGGGGTCTCGGCAGTGTCTGCTGCAATTTAGTGGGGTATAACTTCGGGGTGGTGGCGGGGTCTGTGTCCCCCTTGGGGGAAGCTGAGTGTTCCTTTGTGGGTGCCATGTCCGTGGTGCCATTTCTCTGTGTGCATCATGGCAGCTCCTGCATTAAGCGTCTGTGCCCTGGTGGTCAGTGCACGTAATAACGACAGGTCAGATGGTTGGACACTTAGTATATTAGCCTTTTATATATACAGATATGCATACTTTCTTACTTAAATCCCTCCTTACTTTCCTTTCTATACTCATTCAGGACCAAATGATCGAATTACTGGATCAATACCGTCCAATAGAAATATAATGTTTACAACATATGTAAATTTAAAAATTTACAAGGGTGAAATTAATTTTAATAATATATTTTATTTAACCAATATATCTAAAACATTCCAAAATAGGACCAATACTAAAAAATTAATATTGTGTTAGTTTACATTTTTTTATAGTAAGATTTCAAAATTCAGTGTATATTTTACACTTACAACACATTTCAATTCAAACTAGCACCATGTTAAGTGTTCAAGAGCCACATACTAGTGCTTACCAAAATCATTAACTCAAATGTAGACTACTTAATTCTCAAATTAAATCAAGGTATTTAATAGGCTTCTTTAAAAGGTACAGTCATTAATAATAACAAAAAATTCAAATTAAGGCATTTTTATTTTATCAAACTAACAATGTGCTTTTCTTAAAGTGATAATACTGGGGACAGGGATTCACTGACTTAATATGCATAGCTGAGTATAAGAATTTGGTTACAAAGGTGAATACGCTCTTTTCACATTTAACATTAGTTTGCTACTCTTACTTTTTGATACTTAAAGTCATTAAAATTCTATTATACATATAATGTTATTACAAAGAGCTTAGACACATATATAAGTTACTACCTTCTAAATAACTACACATTTTAAAAAATAAACTACTTATATATTTAAAATCACAAATGAATAAGTCATCTGAAATTTCATAATTTCATTTTCCAGTTACCTGTTAATCTCACTACCCTAAATTTTATATCACTATTAAACTGTAAAGTTTACTAAAGTATAATATACATACAGAAAGAGCATGTAAATTTTCAGAATCAATGAACAAGCATCTTGGGATCCTATACTCCCTTCTAGTCTTCTATTTTTTTAAAATCTTCACCCAAGGATATGTTTTTCATTAATTCAAGAGAAAGAGGAAAGTAGAGGGAAAGCAAGAAACATCGGATGATCCATGTGAGAGAGAAACATTGATAGGTTGCCTCCCACATACACAACAAGCACGAGTGAACCTGCAACCCAGGTACGCGCCCAACAGGAAATTTAGAACTTGTGACTCTCTGGTGTATGGGACAATGCTCATCCACCTCAGCCACACTTGCCAGCACTCTCTTCTAGTCTCAATGCAACACCCTGAAGGTTAATCATAATCCTGACTTCTAACCACATAGATTTAAAACAATTATAAAATTTTAATGGTATGTATATAGAACGTGGCATACTATAAACCTATAATTGCAAAATACAAATATTTTACAAAATAACATTATATTAGCTTCTCAGGAAATAAAACTATAATATGGTACAACCTACAGTTTTTATATAATAGATCCTGTTTATAAGTATACTTATTTGTAGACTTTTCTCAGAGCAGTTTTAGGTTCATATAAAAATTAAACAAAAGGTAGAGAGATTTTCCACATATACCTCCTGCCTTTTCACATGCCAAAATTTTAAAATATTTATAACTAATATACACATTCAGAAAACAGAAAGACAATAGTTCAAATTATTAAAAGCCATTATTTTTATGTGACAAAGGTTTCTAAGTTGCTGCAATAGGATCATATTAGTTTCATAACACAGGAAAAAGGGTCTTGGAATATGCCTTCAAGTTCAAATAAAGTTAATTCAATGAAAGATAAGTTGAAGGTGTGTAGTCATTATATCAAAAACATCAATAGAGGTTCTGGTCAATATGGAAGTGCAGGTAAATGCGGTACTCAGAACCTCTCGCAACCACATCAAAATTACAACTAAATAACAAAACAACCATCACTCAGAACGCCTGAAATCTAACTGAACACAAGTCCTCTAACTAAGGATATAAAAAAAGACACAATGAAAATAGAAAGAGGGGCAGAGAAATGGAACAAGTTAGTTCCATACCAACATAGGCAGTTAAACATCAGGAGGGTTATTGCTGGAAGAGAAGTAGCCATAACTTCTGACTGTGAAAACCAGCAGGGATATGGCTGAGTGAGATCAAAATCCTGGAGACCCAGACATTACTATAAAGGGCCTGAACATGGACTTATTCGAACTCACTTGCTTTGAGTTTTAAAATATATATTTTATTATTATTATTTTACAGAAAGGAAGAGAGAGGGAGAGTTAGAAACATCAGCCGAGACCAGTTTGGCTCAATGGATAGAGCATCGGCTTGGGGACTGAAGGGTCCCGGGTTCGATTGCGGTCAAAGGCATGTACCTTAGTTGCGGGCATATCCCCAGTAGGGGGTGTGCAAGAGGCAGCTGGTCTATGACTCTCTCTCATCGATGTTTCTAACTCTCTGTCTCTCTCCCTTCCTCTCTGTACAAAATCAATAAAATATATTAAAAAAAAAAAAAAAAAAAGAAACATCGATGAGAGAGAAATATTGATCAACTGCCTCCCGCACACCCCCCACTGGGGATGTGCCTGCAACCAAGGTACATGCCCTTGACGGGTTTTGAACCCAGGATCTTTCAGTCCTCAGGCTGAGGTTCTATCCACTGAGCCAAACCGGTTTTGGCATTGCTTTGAGTTTTAAAAGCACAGGTGGCTCAGTTGGTTGGGCGTCGTCCTGTGCACCAAAGGACTGCCAATTAGATGCCCAGTCAGGGCATATGCCCAGATTGCAGGCTCATTCCCCAATTGGTGGGCAAGCAGGAGGCAACAGATTGATATTTCACTATCACATTAATGTTTCTCTTTCTGTCTCTTTCCTCCCTCCCTCCCTATATATCTCTAAAAATCAATAAACTATTCTTTAAAAAATAAGACATCAGGTGAGGGAAAATGGGAGATATCTGCAATAGTGTCAACAATAGGGGGAAAAAAGACAGAGAGTAACTGAACAGATAAGATCCTTATATATGCAG